CACGAACTGCCTCCACTATTTTTTGCTTCACAGCTGTACAGTCCTGCGTCTTCCTTTTTTATATTATCGAGGGAGAGAGACCTGGTGTTTCCTTTCAATGTGTTATTCTTGAGCCAGGTTATCTGTGGCTGAGGCTGACCTTGAATGATTTTACAAGTCAAAGTCACATTGTCTCCTTCTCTGATGAGATTGCTTGCTCCTGAAACATTCAGCTCTGGTCGAACTTTGAATAAACAAGTAACAAAGTTAAAACAAATTGGCACGGTCATACACACATAACATAAGTCTCCTAGAAAGCAGTTATCTTTTGGGTTACTACTATCAATCTACAAAATGGACAACGCATTTTGACATGACTAATTTGAATAACTAGATGAAGTTAATTTTTCAAACAGCTAAAAACAATAAATGCATGGATTACATAAAATGACCTTACAGGAATATACAGATTAATCGAATGAAGCCTTGCACTGCTGTAAAAAGTAAAATGTTTTAAAAATCTGAGCTTTCGCCGATCAACGGCATCATCAGGGATAAGAAAATATTCCTGATGATGCTGTTGATTGGGGAAAGCTTGGATTTTTAAAACATTTTACTTTTTAAAAAAATATTCCCTGATGATGCTATTGCCGATTGGCGAAAGCTAGGATTTTTAAAACATTCTACTTTTTTACAGCAGTGCAAGGCTTTATTCGATTAATTTGTATATATTTCAACATTGCTGCTGAAGGACAATAAGAACAGATTATTCACCTTACAGGATTGCATATTGGCAAAAATTAAAGACCTTACGCACACAAAAAAGAACAAAGCCAAAGATTGTTTTAAACCTCAATAAACTATATGAAGAACCCATTTTATCAGCACTATATGTTGTAACTGCACTACTTTAGGGACTAAATTCTCAACTTTTAAGACAGGTAGTATGGTGTAATGATATAATTAACAGTTTTATATTTTCCCAACGCTTCACCTACCTATAACAGACACAAGTATGTTCTTAGGTGCGCTTGTGACCCTAGTTGGTCCTTTATTCTGTTTCATGGTACAAATGTATGTTCCATTGTCTTCAGGTTGAACAGGATCAATGCGTAGACTGCCACTGGGCATTTGAGAAAATCTTCCCCCATTAAGCAATAAATTTCTTCCTTGTTTGCTCCAAGTTATCTGTGGAGGTGGTTTTCCTTCAGCATTACAGTTTATAATTCCAAATTTGTCTGCAGTAAGGCTCCGCTCGCCTTGAGTGTTTTCAGTGAATCTTGCTGTTGAAATAAACAATGAGGACAACCACTTACCAAAATTGTAGCTGCATTGAAGAAATGTTGCCTAGTCTGTACTTTGTCTATATGCTGAATGCTGGTCACATTTACTGTACAGTTACATGTATTTTAACATACTCTAAAATTAAGGCCTTCTCAGTATGTTGAAAACCATTTACCTACCATTAATATAAACTGTGTAATACTGAACATATTCCATTCTGTGGCATTCATATGTTCCTCCATCAGACAACTGCACGTTTTCTATCACCAGTTCACCATCTTTTTTGGTCTGGACCCTCTCAGAAGGAGAAGTTGTATTTTGCATCTTTTTACCATTAATAATCCACCTTGCAAAACTGGTTTTGTTAAGTATTGAGCAGTGAAGATTTTCATTGCTACCAATATCAAAGAAAAGTTCCTTTTTCCCCATTACTTGTTTGTTCTCTGAAAGAAATTTTTTCAAATACAACAATGATAAGTTCATTCTGTTTCAACTTTTTGGTACTAACTAGCCGTAGAATGCAAAACTATTAGTATCTTAACCCTTGTTGCAAACACTGTAAAAAAGTAACTGGTCATGTTCAGGAATTTTCATCTGAGCATTATAAATACCTTACTTACTTGGTTGACACAGTGCTTGAGAACCTTTACCATCTCCTTGACATTGACCTGGCACATGCAACTTTCCATCAGAGCGAGTACAAGATGCAAGTTCTACCTCGTTTCCAGTGCAAGAAACATCAAATATTACAGTAGTAATGTTCTCACCCTCTACGTCTGAGCCAATAAATTCAGCAAGAGCCTCTTCAAAGCCAAGTTGACGACAAATAACTTTGACATCATTGAAATCCCATCCATTGGCACATATTTTCCCCCATTTCCCTTTGTAAAATACTTCCACTCTTCTTCCATACTCGACATTTGCACCATTCAAGCGAACAGCAACTTATAAAGTCACGAAATATTGAGCAATTACTGAAGGTATATGTTAATTATGTAGTCAAGTAAGAAAAAGATTGAAAATATAGATAAAAGAGGGAGATAGCATGATTACAGACAAATTTAAAAAGTCAAGGTGTGACCAAACAGGTTAAGATGTCCAATATGGTTGTAGGGGTTCTTTGATAGGCAGTTGTCTGGGTATCATCTTTGGGCCTTTATTTACATCTTCAGTTAGAATTTAAATTAATCCTACAAAACAGTCATTTTCTTTCTTTGTGATATTTTTAACAGTAAGAGCAATCTTTGTAAAAAACGCTACTACATTATTACTGATCAAAGCAAGAAAGAATGTTTTAGTGAGGTCTATCACCTCAAATAATGATCAAGTCTATAAGGGTACCATGCAACTAGAATGGGATGTAGAAGACTGAAGCAGATATGACTACAGAGTCCAAAATGCATAATTGATCATTACCTTTGCACAATTGCAATTTGTTTGAGAAGTGTTCTCCACATTTTGTCAGAATGGTGGTGCAGTTGTAGTTAATAGATGTCTCTGATTCATTGTCACTGTCTTCATACCATCTTCCATAGTAACTGCTGTTAGAGTATCCCATTGCCATGCACATCAAATCTTCTTCAGCTTTATTCCAGTTACTGATGCAAAGCTTTTGCCAGCTGCTGTTTGTGTAGATTTCCATTGTACCAACTGAAGGGTTCCCCTCCGTTGTAAAGCGCAGTGGAAATTCTGATGGAAGAAATAACACAAAATTGCAAGTCTGTTTTAAATAGCCTTCCTAATTCATTATACATGTTTTAATTGTTATGTGAATGATTCCCTTAGATAGGCACTCAGTTTCAAATGAATTCCAATTCTAGGTGTAGATGGGTGGAAACAATCACTAGTCCAAGGCAATAACATATTAATTTATACTGCTAGCATCAGACATTTTATATTTCAACAAGTAATGGAATATTTAAGAAGCAATTTTCAAGAAAATTTAGTGGTAAATGCATATAAATGATGACACCAAATTAAAATAGTACAAATATTTGCAAGACATAATGTATGGGATTGGATGGTAAGACAAAACAATAAAGATTACCATCCTGATGATAATATTAGGTGTGAGAATGATAATGATAACATTAATAATGACTAGCACTTAAATATTCAAGTGTCAATGTAATGTTAATGATAATTTTGGAAAAGGTGAATCTATTATGAAGTAACCTAAAAGGCAAAGACTTTTAAAGAAATTATCCATTAAATATGGGGTTCAACAAAGATTACACTCTGATGTCTGTATTTCCACAAATATTGCACCACATACTATAATTACGATTCACAGACACTGATTTCACTATTTGTACGAGTTACCTTCATGGCAGCTGGACATGTTGTTACATTGTCTCACAACTGCTCTGCTCCCATCACAGTTTTCCCCGCCATATGCTGGTTCTGGATTAGAACATTCTCTAAACCTTATCTGTATACCACTGACTGTTTTAGAGCAGATACTCCAAGCACTCCACTCATTCCAACCACCATTGACTGACAATGTTTCAATAACAAGCAGATGAGAAACAACTCCAAACTTTGCCTCCAGGAGAAGACACTGTGATTACTTTGTTTTCCCAAATTATGATTTATTACTTTGCCTAGTCAATATTTTCATTCTAATAAAGAGCAGGAAAAAATTTAGAAAAAACTTAAAACACATATACCACTCAAGAAATGTCACGTAAATTATTACCTCTGCCTCAGGGTTAATACGCTTTTTTTAATTGTTACAAGATTTTTGGTAATTTTTAGTTTCTCATTTCAGGACCCCTGATAGAACGTAATGTTGCAATTTCGAACAATCGACCTCAAATCATATCCAATCGCACAATTCATGAAAAATCACGTAATTCAAAGAAAATTGCCAAAATTCCACAAGCTAAACGATTGAGTATTACTTTATCTCCAAAAATCCGTTAACTATCATGGTGTCAGAGGTTAACCGCCTCCCGGTTAGCTCAGTGGATAGAGCGCTGGACTGTTGTGCGGGAGGTCGAGGGTTCGAGCCCCGGCCGGACCAACACTCAAGGTCTTAAAATAATTGAGAAGAATATGCTTCCTTTCTATAACATCAAGAAATGGTTAGATATTCTAGTCTTCTCGGATAGGGACGAATAAATGGAGGTCCCGTCTCCTACAGGGTTAGGGGTAGGAGACGTTAATTTCCCACGCACGAGATTACTGTGTGATGGATGTCCTCCCCTGGGGTGGGATGGGCGGGTTAGGATTGATTGTAAAGCGCTGTTGATCTGTCATTGTAAATAGCGCTCTATAAGTGATAAATTGTAATTGTAATTGTAATTGTAA